ATTGAAAAACTAATGCAAAAGATTTTCATTTACTTAACTACAATCGGTGTTATGCTATATCCCATAGTGGAATTTAAAACAACTCAAAGTTCCTAATTCTATGTCACGTTGTGAATAAACTATGCAAATATTCTTAATAATCAAGATGAAATTGAAAAACTAATTTAAAAGTGATACATAATCATAATATATTTGAGTCATGTATTATGATCCAAAGAGCAGAGAAAAATGCTATCAGGGCAGGACCTTTACATTATAAAAATAATTTCAGAATAGAAAAAATATGACTAGTTTAAATGTAAATATTAAGAATACACAGAAATAATTCTGAAAATTACCTGAAGTTTACTACTCATTCGAGTTTTCTCTTCATTCTAAAAAGGTGCTTCCACACAACTCCTCCATTTCCCAATTATATTTTATTCCTTCTTACAGTAAATCCAGTGTTTAATTTCTCTAATTATAGCTTTGGGCCTCTTGTTTATCATCTAGCTAGTGAACCATTCTAGGTTATAATTTCCTTTCTATCTTAATAGACATATATAATTGATTAATTATAGACTAGTTTATAGTTTATCTATAATCTATATAGTATATCTATAATCTATAGTTTATAGACTATAGATTAATTCAGACTAGCCTTCCATTATTTTCTTTTGAGAAAATACATGTAAAACACTTAGCATAGTTCTTGATCCATAGCATACCAATGGTTGGCATTATTTTACTTATTTTCAGTGGTGTTTCAAAGATATCTGGTCTTCTTGCCCTTTTTAGGAAGCACTGAATAACTTACTGAATTTTCATTCCAATTTCTATATTACATAGTATCCAGAGTACACTTTTTCATACTTGGTTATACTCCACTGGCTATGCCACTCTCTACAAAGATATAGTTAGGTTTTCATTTAGAAGACAGGCTTATTCATATAATCTTAATTGTTTTGGGGGGGGGGGGTTGGTACCAGGGATTGAACTTGGGTCATTGCACTTGCACAGCAGGCAGCAAAACCACTGAGCTAAATCCCTGGCCCTTAATTTCAGTTTTAACAATCTAATAAGCAATAATATTACTGTGCTCTTCTATAATCAAATTTTTTTTTAAAAAAATAGCATTCCAGGATGGGTGTGGCGGGGTATGCCTGGTATCTCAGCACAGTGGGAGCCTGAGGCAGAAGAATTGAAAGTTCAACCCCAGCCTGGGTAACATAATGACTTGGGAAAACTTTCTCTAAGTAAAAAACAATAAAAGAAAAAAGGGTTGGGATGTAGCTCAATGTGAAGACCGTGGGTTCAATCCATAGTTCTGTAAAAAAATTAAATGAATAAAAATAAAAAATAGCATTTTTCTGCGCCATTTACTATTGTTCTTATGTTGTTTTGCTTTTGTGTTATAATTTACCTGATACAAAATTGAAAAACTATATTCCTATCAATTGCTCCCAATTTAGGAATGTATTTTGGAGAGCTCACTTTCTAGGTGATATTGACAGTTCCCATTACCCATCAGAGATCTTTGTTTCCTTTTATTTTCTTGGAGTTGTTATTTCCCAAGAGACAGAAAGCAATGGAAGTAAAAGAAAGAGGACTGTGTCCCTTCCAAAAAAAAACACTCATAAAGTCAAGAATGGTTCCAGGTGCCCAATAAATCCATATCTGAAATAACTGACATAAGGGAGAGGCATCCAAAGGGTAAAAATATCCTGTAACTTGCTTTCTCTGGAAAGTGTTTGATTTTATGAGCTCAAGCAGACTAGTAAGCATCTAATCATATACCTCAATCTTGCTCTTTTGACTTGAGATATCCTAGAAATTCCACGTGGACTCTGGGAAACTATTTACTTATCTTAAATTTCTAAACTACCCTTTGAATTATTCAAGTATTTCATATTTTTCAAGTACTGTCATGAGTTGTTTTCTATGTGAAATTGATCAAGAAAACACACACATGCACACGCGCGTGCACACACACACACATACACACCAGGGACCATTAATACAAAGGTAATAATTTGGTTGTGATTAATATAATCAAATGCCTGTGGATTGTACACTCAAGTCACTAAATTATTACACATAAAATATTTCCAGAAACCCAAAAAGGGCTATTTGGAGGCAATTAATGAGACATAAGTTAGCTTAAGATGTATTGTCTGCTCTAAGACAACATAGTAATGGCTCATATTCCTACTGCAAAAATCTAAAGCCAAACTATTCTAAAAGACAACCTTTAGGGTCAAAGCCAAATCAAATAGATCAGACAGACAGATTATGCTGCCAATGCTTGAATCTAGAGGGAGTAGTCTCTTTAAAGGCTAACTAGGCATTTAGCACAAACTAGAAAAAAACAAAACAAAACTGAGGACTCTAAGTTTCCATTAGGAATGTTCAGCCAGGAGGCGTGTAGAGGCCCTAATGCAGGACCTTTGGAACTGTGAAACTGTATGTGTAGATGTAGCTGCTGAGAGCTTCCAACCAGCTTACAGAGGATAAAAATTTTGAATTAATCTTTTAGTTAAGTATCATCAGCATGTCTAATCTGTATACTTTTAGATGTCTATTCAGTGATTATTTTAAATACTTCATTGCTAGGATAAGATCATAATAGAACAAAGGAGGTATAGCAGACTTTAAAATGTTATGTCTTGATGTCTTTCTCTGTCTCCAATCCTTACCCAATCCAACATATCTTGTACAACTCAGTGATTTTTCATAGTTGTGGCTTGTTATGTCAATATTGAATAGAGTGAACAAAATGTATGGTAATACTTACAGAAGACATTAACTATTGCTCTATCTAGGAACAGTAAACTTGAGAAAGAATAAGTTGTGATTCCCTTGATGTTAGGACCCTGCCATCTATACTTTTGTATCCTTGAAAGAAACTACCATTCTACAATACAATTGTTTTTCTATTTTTTTGTCAAACAATTGAAATAAATTAACCAATTATTTATGAAGTATATATAATATCAAAGGTATTAGTATAAATATAATCTTTTAATCCTCCTCATGGCAATTATTACTAACTCAACTCTCTGTATAAGAACACTGTTGTAATATCAAATTTTTGCTATTATTAGGAATATCTATAAACACATGCAAAAGTAGAGGGAATTGATCTCCATTTAGCCATCAGATCCCACATTTGTAGATGTATTGTTTGATTGGCTTTGGCTTTCCTTTGCTTCTTAAAATACCATTAAAATATGTTATTTTATAATCCTTACATAATTTAGTGTGACTCATTAGAAAATAGTTATATTCTTACAGAACAAATGCATTTCTGTCATACCTTGAAAATTAAAAATAATTTTCTCATATCATTACATTCTAAAAGGTCCATGATTATCTTTTTATAGTTGTTTTGTTTCAATGAATATAGATAATTTATTTTAAATAACAGAAGTAGAATTTCAAACCAAGTGTATCTGGGATTTTAATAATTGAACAAATAAACCAGTCTTCTTTCTATTCGAACCAATCAATCAACTAGAAAAATTTAACGATGTGCTTATTCTGAGAAATTTCTGGATGATTTGACATTGCACTCCTTGCATATAACACTTTGCTAGAGAAGAAGTAACCTAGTTCTACCCTGTCAATTCCCTGATATTCCTAATTTGCACTTATGTAATTGCAATGCCACCCATTCTGGAACAATAGCTCATAGCATGTACTACTTCCAAAAATATCACTGTAGATAATCAGAGGAAGGAAGCAATTCTTATGTCATCAAAATCTAACTCAAAGTAAGGATGAATCTTAGAAAACTGAAAAATGGAAAGGAATACACAGGAGAAAGAAAATAATATTAGATGCAAAAATTGGAAAATTCCAGAAAATAAAAGATTACAAAGATTAATTTGTATTATCACATTTATTTTTCTAATTAAATAAATGTTAAATTGTTACCTGTCTTAACCTACTCATGGAGCTATTAAGAGTATAGGGATTTAAAAAGACAAATTGAAAAAAAAAATAAAAAATAAAAAAATAAAAAGACAAACTGAGTTTATGTCTGTATTCAGTCCACAACCAGATCTGTGTCTTTAGGAAAGTTTATCAACTTCTCTAAGTCTTGGAATTTTGTTATTTTGCATGTTTTGTTTGCTTTCAGATGTTTAGTTTTAATAACAGTAAAGACAAAGGTCCCTAACTCTCAGTTTTATGAGAGTGGCATGGTAAAATATCTGTAAAAATGATGAATAGACCTCCTGGAACAAATTCTATGCTCCATAAATTCTAGTTATTATTATTAGGGTATTAGCACTTTATGCTTCAAGTAATAACTTTATATAAAAATTAAATAAACAACTACCTAAAATGACAAAAATATCACAAGAAACTGGAGAGTGGGCCCGGGATTTAGCTCAGTGGTTCCGGCGCCTGGTGTGCAAGCTCAAGGTCCCAAGTTCAATCCCTGGTACCAAAAAAAAAAAAAAAAAGAAAAGAAAAGAAACTGGAGAGCAACATCTATTATGAATATAAAAGCAGAAATCCTTAATATACTAACAAAAAATCCATCAACAGACAGAATTATAACCATTCCACCATGACCAGGTGAGATTTATCCCAGGGAAGAAATATCGGTTTAGCATCTGAAAATCAAGTCATGTAATATGTCATATTGATAGAATAAAAAACAAATATCAATGATCATCTCAATAGACAAGAAAAAGCATTTAACAAAATCAAGCACCCTTTTGTCATGAAAACATTCATGAAAGCAGGAAGAGAGGGCAACTTCCTCAACTTGCTAAGGGACATCTATGAAAAATGCACATGTAACATCATACTTAATGGTTAAATATAACAAGCTAAGATCAGGAACAAGACAAGATAATTACTCTTACCA